GAACCTGGTCGCGTTTGACCCCGAGGGTCGGATCACCAAGTATGCGACCGTGGACGACATCCTGAAGGAGTTCTTCGCAGTCCGTCTGAAGTTCTACGAGCGCCGCAAGGTAGGCATTCCCATACTACTCTCGATGCTACCGTAAAGTCTACTAACACCAAAGTTTAGCAATATCAACTCAACGAAATGCAAAAGGAGCTGGAGAAGCTCAGCAACCAGGCGCGCTTTGTGCAGATGATCATCGACGGCGAGCTGGTCGTTTCTAAAAAGAAGAAGAGCGTGCTCGTCGTGGAGCTGAAGGAGAAGGGCTTCAAGCCATTCCCCAAGGTGGCGGATGCTGCCAAGGCCGGGGAAGCTGAGCCAGCTGCTGAAGATGAGGAAGACTCTGAAGACGTCGATGATACCAACAATCTCTCCAACGCGTATGACTACCTGCTGGGTATGGCGATTTGGTCGTTAACCCAGGAGCGTGTGGAGCGCCTGCGTCGCCAGATTGGTGATAAGGAGATGGAAATCGACACCTTGATCAAGCTTTCCAAGGAAGATATCTGGAAGCGGGATCTGGAAGACTTCATCAACGAATGGCGCTTCCAGCTCGACGATGAAGCTCGTCGCATGCGTAAGGTGGCAAACATGGGTCGTCGTACCTCCTCCAAGCTGATGACAGCTGTGGGCCGTGGCGGTGCTCGCAAGCGTAAGGCTGCAAAGGATGATGACTCGGATGATGAAGACTTTGCCGCGCCGAAGAGCAAGCGCGGTCCCAAGAAGGCGGAGCCTAAGGGCACGCTCCACAGTTTCTTGAACAAGACTTCTCCGAAGCCCAAGCCTGCAGCGGACGATGATGATGAGGACGACGATGACTTTGAGATGGAGGTGATGCCGAAGAAGAACCGCGGGGCCAGCAAGCCGGCAGCGCCAGCGAAGGAAGAAGAGAAAGAGACAGGCGACTCCGATATAGAAGTCCTGCCGAAGAAGAGTCGGGCTGCACCCAAGGCTGCCTCGAAAGTCAAGGCTGAAGATACCGACACCTCTGAGGTGAAAAAGGCACCAACTAAACGGGGCCGACCGGCGGCCAAGGCCAAGGCCAAGCCAGCAGAAGACGAGATCGAGCTGGACGACGATGAGTTCATGGAAATCACCAAAGCGCAAGCTGCCGAGACTACCAAGGCTGATCCAGCGCCCAGCCGAGCGCGCAAACCGGCCAAGTACACCTTGGATGACTCGGACAGCGACAACGGGGACGACCTCCTGGGCGATGTGAGCAAGATGGTCAAGGGGATCGGCGGTACTACCGGCGGATCGACATCGGATTCCCGTCAGCTGTTCTCGGAGCGCTCTGGGGCCGGCAGCACCTCGGGATTGGCCAGCAGCTCCAAGGCCTCGAAGCAATCTCCCGATTTTGACGCCGACGAGACTGACTACAGCAAGCTAGTGCCACAGAGCTCTCCGCGTCGGTCGCTACAGGTCAAGTCCAAGGAGACCAAGACGTTAGTTGACAGCGACGAGGAGGAGGAGGAGCCAGTGAAGCCGGCCGCTACCAAGGCCAAGCCGGCGGCCCGAGGCAAGGCAGCGGCAGCAGCCAAACCGGCCGCGAAGCCACGAGGCCGGCCCAAGAAGGATGCCACCACCACTGCGGCCGCATCTGCTAAGCAGACGGCGCTGTCGCCAGCAGCCAAGGCTTACGCTTCCAAGCAGGCCAAGACGACTACCAAGAAGAAGCAGCTGGCGGATGACTTGTCGGACGACGACATTGATGCAATGGCTAATGATATCTTGGATTCTCCCGCGGCGCCTACTACCCGGCCATCGCGGCGCACGGCAACGGCCAAGAAGAAGACGTACGTGATTGATGATGACAGTGATGACTTTGGAGCCGGAGGAGATTCGGGGGATGATTTCGCAGAGGACAGCGAGTAGAAGAAGAAAGACGTGGCGAGAAGAGTACATACACTTGGACGTAACTAATTTTTATTGAGTCATTTTGTACCTACTACAACTATTCGTTTGCTACTGTTTCACCAGATATGATAATGCAGTCGAATTTCCATTTGTTAAATCCGAAGTCTTATCTCGGATGAATGTTGGAGGAAAAAAAAGAGAAGTCGGCCAGAAGTCCGAGGAAAGTGTGGCCCCAGGCTCCACTCAGGCTCCACTTTGGGGATCCACCAAATCCAAGGCTTGATTTTGAAGTCTCTTTTTTCTTTGCCTTTCGAGAATGAAAGACCCGCCGTTGAAGGTGATTGCGTCTTTCCGGACCTTAATTATCGACCGAGACTGGCCTGGCCATTATTCAGCAATGCTTTAGTTCCCGAATTTGCGTAGTTCTCTTCGTCTCCAAGGTGGTTCTCTCGTCTGTTTCTTTTTCTTTCCTTCTTCTCTTCCTGTGCATCTCCCACTGACAGACATCTCCCCTCCATGCAGGCCTATCTTCAGTACCGCCGCATTGGCCATGCCGTGCGCAAACAACTCGAAGATTTCCCGGAGTTCGCCCGACCAGGCGTCGCCAAAGATGACCTGCCGGAGGGGATCCCCGGAGACGCTCCTAACACAGGTTCACGCCGCCGTTCTAGTCCGTTGCTGCCAGGTGTGCAGCTGAAGGACGTAGTTGAAAATGATGGCACCTCCTCGGCTGTCTTGCTCGTCGACTGGGACGGTGACCATGATCCTATCAATCCGCGCAATTACAGCCGCGCCACCCGCATCGGCGCAACCCTGATGGTGTCCGCCCTGGGTTTCGCTGTCGGTGCGGCCTCATCTATCGAATCCGGCGTGCTTCCCCAGAACGCAGCAGCCTTTCACGTCAGCGACGTCGTCGCATCGCTCGCAACGGGTATGTACCTGTTGGGCTTCGCAGCAGGCTCGCTCGTCTCCGGGCCTCTATCCGAAATTCTAGGCCGCAACGCCGTCTACACCGGCTCCCTCACGCTATTCATGATCTTCGTCATGGCCTCAGGTCTAGCCCCCAATATCGGCGCCCAGCTCGCTTTCCGCTTCCTGGCTGGCATCTTCGGCTGTCCACCGCTGACCTGCGCCGGCGGTACCATCGCCGACCTCTGGAACCCCCTGGAGAAAACCCTCTTCTTCCCTCTCTACGCCATCCTTTCCTTCGGCGGACCGGTCCTTGGCCCCGTCATCGCCTCCTACATGGGCGAGGGCACCCTCTCCTGGCGCTGGACCAACTGGATCATCCTCATCCTGGCTGGCTTCATTCTGGCCCTGATTCTCCTGGTGCAGCCCGAGACCTACGGCCCCCTACTCCTGAAATGGAAGGCGCACCATCTCCGCCACCAAACGGGCGACAACCGCTACCGCTCATCGATGGATCTCCAGGAGACAGCGCTGTTCTCTCGCATTGGAACCGCCTGCATGCGACAATTCGCCCTGACCATCCACGAACCCATTATCCTGCTGATCTCGCTCTACATGACCGTCATCTACATCGTGCTCTTCACCTTCTTCGACGGATACACGTACATCTTCTCCGACGTGCACGGCCTCTCCCAGGGCCTAACCAACATCGTCTGGGTCGCCATGTACGTCGGCATCTCAATGGCCGGCCTTTTCGTTCCCGTCGTGTACGTCTGGACAAAGCGTGAATTCTCCGACGCGGCTGCATCCGCTGCTGCATCTGCAGCGGCGTCCCCCCGATCGACCAGTTCGGAAGTAGTCGCTGCCGGTCCCAACGCCAACGCCGATACCAATGAGAAACCCAACCTCGACGACCCTACTACCAACGACGACGATGACACTCAAAAACCCACCCAGCAACAGCACAAGCACGTCGCTCGTCCCGAGAACCGTCTCTGGTTCGCCATGCTCGGCGCCCCTGCTATTCCCATCGGCTTATTCTGGATGGGATGGACTGACTACGTACGTTTACTATCCCCTCCTCTCCTTATATCTATACCCCTCCACCCCCATACTAATGTAATAAAAATAGAGCACAATCTCAATCTGGTCCCCCATCATCGCCTCCACCGTCTTCGGCTTCGGCACCATCTGCGTCTTCATCTCCTCATACATGTACGTCATCGACGCATACGACATCTACGCCGCCTCTGCATTGGGCTTCATGACGGTGTCGCGCTACTGCGCGGCAGGCGGGATGACAGTCGTGGGCATCCCGTTCTATAGTAATATGGGGGTGCATTGGACGTTGACGATCCTGGGGGCGATTAGTGCCTTGATGACGCCCGTCCCGTATGTGTTTTATCGGTATGGTGTGGTTATTCGCGGGTGGAGTCGGTATGCTGTTTAATTTGATGAGTTACAGGCAGGGTAGAGATGAGAATAGTGGGCGGGGTTCAAAAAGAGTAGATGGGGTACTTACTATATAGATATAGATGTAGATATGGTGGAGGGATGGATAGATCATAGATTCATAGATAGATAGATGATAGACTATCATTAGCTAATTTAATTTTAATAATGATGATTACACACACACACACTCTCTCTCTCTCTCTCTCTCTCTCTCTCTCTCTCTCTCTCTCTGATCCAAGCTAAGCATATACTCCAACACACACACAATTAGAAGTAGCGTACCGAGTCAGATACCAACATCATCGACGCAAATAGAATTGGTACCAATTTAAACAACCCTAGCGAGGTTGATTTTGCTAGAGGTTTGAAAATGGAACGGGAGAGGGAAAGACTGAATAGTAGCAGTAGGGACTGCTTTGCTCTTACTTCTATTGGAGGGTTCTGATGTCTGGTGGTAGGTGCATGATCTAGGAGGGAAGGTATGTGAAAAGGGGAAAGGAGAGCATTCTACTTAGTGACTGGCTCAATACTCTTCGGCATAGTTCCAACAACCACGATCATACCTCGGGTCTAATTGCACCTACGACAATACATAAAGATCAATCTATAAACAATCATATCAAGTCTATTCTAACCGAATTGTAATACATAATCAACGCCATTACATATCCAAAGCAAGAGCAACTTTCCACAAAGACCACAGATCACACCCTAATAAGAAGTAGTACTGAGCGAATGCATGGAACCGTGTTGTCAACTTACAACATTTCATATCTGAACCCGCTGTTGCGCAAATCCATTAGTGCATGTGCGGCAATGGCTGCCCTGGAACCCTCCAAGGGAGCCTCAGGCTCACAAGTATCCGTTGGCTGCCAGAAGCAGGCATCAACCATTCCAGTAGCCAAGATGACATCAACAGAGGATAAATTGCTGCTATAGTAACTTTCTTGCGGTTCAACTTGACTGTCTCTCTTGTGGTCGTCATCGGAGAGGTGGTTGCTCGATAAGCTGGAACCATACAAGGTAACCTGCGAGCTTGTCTCTGACCGGAATTCCTCCCGCATCCCACGTTCGAATATTGCGTGTGGTGAAATGCTTCGGTCGGTGGTGTAGCGATTGTTGACCAGCATATGTGTATTCTGAGAGCTGCGGGTTGGCGAAACGCAATAGGTATCGTGCGGAGAGACGCTCTGCCTCTGGCAAGGCGAGACTTCCCGGGTCTTGTACTGTTGGTCTCGGTCGGGTTCTTGGGAATGCTGATGACCTCCACGTTGGGGAATTGGCGGTTCCAGGCTGCGATAGTAAGCTACATCCTCCGTGGCTTGACGGACTATCTCCGGATCAATGATCATGTTGTTAAAGCGGGCGTCATTTGGGGGTATACACTGCGCGGGAAAGTCGAGGCCGAACATGGGCGTTAGGAGGAAACGAATATTCCAGCAGAATGTGGTTGCTAGCGCCTTGGCAGCCCTAAATGGCATCCAATATCCTTGACTTTAGTTAGCGGAGGTGTCTGAAAGGAAACCAAAACCTACCTTGTCCGACGAGTGCGCCGCCCGTGATGCTGTAAGTGATCTCGCTGAGGCCCGGGTTCATTTTCAACACCTTCGCGGGAGCGGTCTGGAACCATCAGATGTGCTTAATGACGCGCAGAGTAGGAAGACACACCTTCGGATGGCCATTGCACTTGAACAGAGCTGTTGTCAGAACAAGCCCGACATTATAATCCCACGTTATCACCCACTTTTTCGGGCTGTTGGGCAGTTCGAACGTGTAGTGGAAAACTATGGGAAACTCTTCCGGTCAACATATGGCTTGAAGTAGGATAATGGGCAATCACCTTCAAAGCGTTCTCGCCCTGTCTGCTCCTTGAATGACCTTTTTGTGCTAGTGTAGGGAATGCGGTCCGGAAAGTCTGCTATGTTGCCCATGGGGTATAGCTTGTGCTTCAAGTGGATTTTTTTAAGCTCTTCATCGCGCTCATCGTGAACGCGATAGCGAACTTCGCCCTGAACCTTGCCCCTCCTAAATGAAGGCTGATCTTTGGGAACCTTCGTCCTTTCTGAGCGGGGTGTCTGTAAAGACAATCCACGCTGTAGGCTCCCCCGGTTAAGACTGGGGCACGAGGTATCGGGGTTCAGAAGAGAATTTATAGAGGCCATGAGTGCGATGAAATGGTTTAGGCAAACGATAAGGCAGACAGAATGTGTGACTCAGTAGAAGTGAGAGGGGTGGGCATCGAAATCTTAAATAACGATGAGAAAAGTCAGACATGCAACTGCACATCTTCACCGATCTTTCTGCTTCTCTTGAGCTGAGTCTTACCATCCGCTATGCTCATTTAGCAAAGTTCTAGAAGGTCTGTGAAGGTTTCGATGAAAGTTATTAAACCGTAACGGGGCGACTCAGAGCACAGTAGTTGTTCAAGCCGGAAGGTCGGGAGGTCTCTCTGCGCCCATCATAAAGGCTACCTAAAAGAAATGGCATGCCAGGAAAAGCAACACACAGTGGAATAGAAAAAGAAAGGAAAGAAAAAGCGGGAAGAATTACAGGGTCTGCCTTTCACTTCAGCGCCAATGCACGCGTCCCCTGATGGTTTTCGGAGAATGAGCTCAATGGCTGATTCCGTGAAAAATAGGCTTGTTCTGTTTGCATGGAACAAACCATTGGTGGGCCCTCGAGGCTTCAGGCCAGCCGTGAACCAAGTCCCCAAATAGATTCTCGAATAGACGGTTGGCTTGAAGGAATGTCTTGGATGGAGGTTTCCCTCATGAGACAACCTCACCGATAGTTGACAAACCATCACGAGACCGTATCAGCCACTGTTCTGAATCCAGACCTAGGCTTTTTGATGTTGGCTAAGAGAATCAATGTCCCAACTGTTCCTGTAGATTACTTGCAGCCCTCTGGGGGATTGCCGCCCCGGGGATCTCATTGTCATCATTGACATTGATTATCCAGGTATGACAGGAGCTCACGTAGGTCTGTAGCTCATCGAGGCCACCTTCGTTCCACCGCCCATCTGGAGTTACCCACGACGAGGGTTGCGATGCAATACCACCAGATCAGACGGTGAATTAGGTTTTAGGGACTCATACGGCCATGTGGATGTCCTGCGCGATTAACCAGTATTGGTACCAATGTTGTAAACCTTTTAGGCCTTGATAGCCCTTATTTGCAAACAGATGGCACGATAACCCCAGTGACAAGGCTAAAAGGGGGGCCAAGATCCACAAACCTTAAAATGGGGATCTACATGACGTTCTCGTACTGTATCGTCTGGAGCCTGCTGATGATGACATCTTGGCTCTGCAGGCCGGTCGCCAGACGGCGAACTCATGCCGTCCATGAGCATCAAGCAACCGATCTGAAGTACATATGATGAGCTGCTCGAGCAACCGGGGGACTAGGCATTTTGTGCGTATGACCAATAACGAACGAGCAGGGCTAGATGAGACTGGCTCGGCGAGGCGGATATTTGAGAGGTCTCAGACCAACGGGAAGCCGCAGCTCGCTCTTGTATCACCAGAAGCTGCTTTTCTGCCAGTTAATAATTTCCATCGGATCTCAGGGGTGTTGAAAGCCTTCGCAAGATGATGGTTTGTATTGTGGTGACTTTGTGGCTGACGGGCTGAGGAGGCCAAGCTAGGAATCTCGGTTTTGAAATGGGAAAGGAAAGGAACTGGCCTCGATTGTCTCACATCCGCTCCAACCGCTAAATGCCGACGGGCATGTACTAGGCACTACTGTCGACGGTATGGCTCGTTCTTTTCACGAGCTCTCCCAAGCCTAAGGATGAAAACCCATGGTCACACTACTCTGCATCATTTTATCAGACGACACTTCTGATATAGGGAACCTCACTAGCACAGCTTCAACTAAGGATTTACTGCATAGGAGCAGTACTCAATAACAGCGGAGTCACCTAAGCTCACTCTGTAGGTCACTCGCCGGGCTAGATCTGGCTTTTACGTCCATTAGAAAAGGTAGAGAGAGATGTCAGCCCCGATAAAGCAGGCCATCTTGCTGGTGACAGTAATGCTGAGCTTCCACGCGGGATTCTGTGCCGGGCCCCCACAATTCTGTGGCGTGCCAGCTCTCTGGTTCCTTCTACTCATCTGTGCTTCCAAATAACCTTGTTGTGTCCACCGTGTCCAATCAGTCCCTCAGAGACGCAGCCGAGCCCCAGCGGGGAGAAGCGCAGCGGCTTGAAATCGGCATTTGCAGACAATGGAGAAGGATTCCGGCCGAGCGGTACTAAGTGGCAGCTAGAGTTGACGACTCAGGAAGTACGACAGGTTCTCTGGTGGTTAGTGGATGGGTAAACCGCGACAGGGGGCTGGTCTGAGAAAGGCAGAGGAAAAACTCAATTCAAGACAATGGGAAATTACTCAGGCTGCCACACGTGCCAAATTAGCCTTTCTGACCTCCCCAGAATTAGAAATTGGAGGAACAGGGTGTGTTCTAGGCTTGTTTGGGGGGCGAAGAGGGGAGTCATCGCATGTGTTTGTGAAACGTGATGTTTAGCCTTTGGGTGACCATGCAGTGCAGTGATTGGCTGCGAGGGTATGTTTAGGCTGGGAGAACGTAGCGGATCCTTAGAAATGGGTAGTAGTCAGAAGACAAAAAAGAAATACTAGGCTCAGGCTCAGGCTGGGAGCACAGAGGGAAGGAGTTGGATGGATGAAGATGGAAGAGACAGTAGAAAATAGAAAGGTATACTAGAGCATGCAGTAGTACCCCGTCGTCCATTAGTCTATCGCTCCTTCCCCGAGCGGGAATGACTGCAGTACTTCCGGGCGGGTCCCGTGGCGCCTTCCCAATCCATCGTCACTGCAAATTTATTCATGTGCCTACTTTGTACTCGTACTTCCAACTGGGTTCTGATCTTCTCTACACAGCTTGAACATGGATAGTAACTCGCATGACATGCTTATAATCCGTAGTAAAAAGTAATGTCCCAGTCAGAACCCCCTCCCTTTCCCCACCGCCCCCAAAGGACGAAAAAGCAATAACTGCATGCCACCAAACGCACGATGAACAAGTATTTCTCCTATTTGTCATTAACCGCAGAAGCCATACAAATCCCTCCGACAAGGCTGTTACTTACAAGCAGAAACAGATGCATACAACTGCACAGTAAGCGAGTAGATAGGAAATGCAATTTTGATCCTGCAGCTACCCCTCTTTCTTAAGGCCTAAGACATACATACCAACTATTAGCAATGAGTAGGAGTCAGTCATCGGTGTATCCCAGTAGCCTCTCAGCTACCCATTTGGTGACCACTGAATCAGCCCATGCAGCATTGAGAAGCTGCTACATCCCAGTTCTTCCTTCCCACATCCACCTCGCTTTTTCATGTACCACATTCCTGGATCTAGAACCGTAAACCCGTCGTCGGGTTGCATCCGAGGATGCCGCGGCCTTCTGAGCGGCCGGCGAGTATCGAGGAACAGGAGCTTATCTGACCTGCAGCGGTCGTGGACGAGGATTCGCCGCTAGGATGGTGATCCCTCCCTGAAACTGGAAGGTGATGGTCGTGTCGTCACCGGGTGATACGACCTTCCTTGGAACTCGAGCCTTTTTTCGAAGTCTGGGGAGGACAGGCAGGACGCTTGTCGGGCCTTTTAGCCACCGCGGTTCCTGAACCATCGCCCGCATCTTCCGGTTGCAGACGTAAAAGAACGTACTTTGGAAAAGAGAGGAAGAACAAACTTGAAAGTGAAAGAAAAAGAATTAAGGAATGCATACATGCATTAAGTGGTGTCTGGTTGTATAGCTAGAAGGTAATCAAACACGCAATCTGCTCAACGCCGGTCCTGTTATGCCACCCACCCGAGAATTTGTCCTGCAAGAAACGTCTTCAATAACATAAAAGCATCCCAAATGAGTCATGTAGGCCCACCCCCAATGAAAGTATAGACAAACACCGAGCCCGAAAACATAATAAAAATACCCTTTATCCATTAAAGGACCAACCACCGTTGAGGCGCAGACGCTGCCGCTCAGCAAGGTCACGTCGGATCTCATCCTGTGTGAGCCCATCGGCGCCAGACCAATTCGCGCTACTCGTACGCTCACGGAACTTCTTGATCTTCTTGTCCGACTTGAATGTCTCCTCCAGGGAGAAGGGAGCAATAGGGCCGAAAATAGAATCCACCTCCATGCCTTCCTGCTGGCGCAGGAGTGATTCCAGTTCCTTGGGCTGGGCCCACTTGGGCACGGGAAGCATCTCCGCATCCGAGTCCTCGTCCTCACTGTCGGTTGCAATCTCGGGAAGGTTGATGTTCTCACCATTCGGATACTTCGGTGACTCCTTGACCGGTGCCTTTTGAGACGCACTAGCGGCGGCAGGAGTTCGGTGTGCAGCCGGCTGCACGCTGGGGGGTTCCGCAAAGGGGATCTTGCCACTGGCGTATTTGGCCATATCCAGTGGATGCCCGGGTCGCTGGGCCTGACCCGTCTTGAAGATTGAGGAGCCGGATTGATGTGCAACAGAAGGCTGTGTATGACCAAAAATGGACGGCTGTGTCGGTTCCTCGTTACACGGTCAGCGCTGCTCAAAGACATTTCAATAACTCGCGTAGTACTCACCTTACGAATGTTGGATTGACGGATCGGTGGAGCCATCGCCGGACGCATAGAGGACATGCGGCTTTGCTCATCCTCTGTCCTCCTACGTTTGGTCTCGCCCGACGGCTGCATGGTAGCAGACTTCGGTGCTGTCGGTCGGTGGTTGGCTTCGTCATCAAGCCCTCTCTTGGGCGGTTTAGCGGGGTTAGGTTGGGGCTGGTTAATTGACCGATTGAACGGCTGAATCGAGCCCAGTCGTGAGGCTGGTCTAGCTGCACCAAGCTCGCTGCGTTGGCTTGCCTCGGGCTGCTGGCTTCCCTGTCGCTCTAGTCTGCGCTGATTCTCCAAGCGGCGTTTTTCAATGGCTTGCATGTGGGCGGCCTTCTTTGGATCCTCGGCAGCAAGTCGCTCCCGGCGCTCAGCCTCCGCCCGACTGCGCATCTCCTGACGACGAGCTTCTTCTTGCTGCTGAGCTGCACGCTTCCGTTCCAATTCGCGTCTCTGTTCCTCCCGGCGTCTTGCTTCGCGCTCCTCTTGCTCTCTCTTCCTTTCACTTGCAAGTTGGGCTTTTCTCTGCGACTGACTGGATATAGAGCTCTTGAAACTGCTGTTAGAAGAGGCTGTGTGTAATGAGGTATTGCTAGCCTTCTTCTTCAGGGTCGACGGTTTGGAAGCCGAGGCTGGAGTTGGTGCAGGGACGCTAGACTCTCGAGTGTTGGAGGACACTTGCGACGCTAGCGGCATTTGCCGGGAGAGTGCGCTGCCGACGCGAATTGACACGGGCTGAGGCTTCGGTTTCGGGACCTCGCGAGCCGGCTTGAGAGGGCGGCGTTCAGTTTGCTTTGATGATTGCTGCTGTGAGACGGAACTTGGTGCGACAAGTTTGGGTCCGCCTTCGATGCTAGGCTCTGGTTCCTTGGATGGTTTCTGTAGGTGCGATGTCTTTTGCGTCGGCAACACGGTAGCTGACTCGGTGGTTGGCGCGCGAGCTTCAGGGTCGGCGGTCGGCTTCTCCTGTGGCGCCTTGAGTTTCATGGCTCTCTGTTTCTCCAGTTGCCGGGCTCTCTCCGCCTGCTCCTCTTCCTTCTGGCGGTCTTCAAGCTCCTTCTGTCTGCGCTTCTCCTCTCTTTCAGTGGAGCTGCGCGTCCGGCGGCCTTCTTGGCGTGGAGGGCTCGGAGGCTGTGTCGACTGCGGCCGCTGGCTTTCCCTATTACGATCTGTGTCCAATCGTCCTGTATGCCTCAATCTCGGTTGGTCCGGGGAAGCAGATTCGACTCTGGCGGCAGCTGTAACTCCCCCAGTATTCATGAAAAGGCCCTTAGCGGATTGCACGATAGACTGAAGCCGCGATTTAGATGCACTTATCGGACCATCGTAGCGCTCGGCCGGTGAGCCAACCGGGGTTGTGGACATCTGGTTATCAATGTTTGCAGACGCACTCTTCTGATGGCCAGGTCGCTGTGGTGATGAGTAGGAGGGTGTTGACGACTTTCCGCGAGCTGCATCTGAGGCGTGCTTAGAGCTAGTTCTCGGCACCTCCGGGGGATGGACATCTCGTTCCCTATCAATGGAAGGACGGTCTTCCTCAGCACCTCGGGCTATCCGAGCGCTGGAATGTTTGCCGAAGCTATCAGCTTTCTGGCTGGCACGTACATCTGGCCGGTAGGGCGAATTCAGTGGCTTGATCCAGTCGTCATCAGCGGCAGAGTCAGGGGCCGGGGTCTCGCGAGACTTCGAGCCGGATGGCTCCTGCTTAGCTTCGGATTTGGCAGTGGGAAGTTCAGGGTATGTCACCTGCGCCGTCGACAAGCCAGGCACAGAAGGAATGGACTTGGTAGGTCGAGAAGGCTGAAGCTTGCCGAGCATGCTGATTTTCTCGTGCAGGAGTTGAGTCGATGACTTGTTGTGAAGCTTGCTGGCTCTAGTCTCGGCATCTCTATCTTCCTCTGTGGCATCTTTCTTGTCATCGATATCCATCTTGTCGCCATGGATATTGCTGTCCTCCGCAACATGCTGGGTCGTCCTATGTCCACCGGTCTGTCTGCCCAGATAACCCCCGGCGCTACTAAGCTTGTTAAGGTCGAGATGGCTCGTGCGGGAAATTCTCGAGCCTCCCAGGCTCTTCTTTGTCAGCGGTTCGCGAGCCGGGAGTGATGCAAAAGTGAGACTGCTCTTGCGAATCGGTGGGCGTACTGGAGATCCTTCCGAAGGTGAGCCGATTTCATCGAGACTATCAAGGGCCATGTCGTCATTTCCGTCATCTTGGTCATCCTGATGATGTTCGGGGGGTTGCGAAGTTGCATTTGTTTGCGGGCTCGATTTCGTATCCTTAAGCGGACTATATACTGGCTTTGGTGCGGCTTTCTCCGTGGGCGGGGATTCGCGTCTGGGTGTGGCTTCGGGCTCTTCTTCAGGTTCGGGTTCTTGATGGGCCTGAGCGTTTTGTTTTGCCTCTGGTTCCGGCGCAAGTTCAGGTTCCAGCTCAACGATGGCCTTGCGCGCCGGCTCCGGTTCCGGCTCTTGTTCCGAGTCCACGTCTGACATGATTTTGTCTTCAGGTTCCTCCTCAGGTTGCGGTTGTGCCTCATCAACATTCTCTGTATCCTTCGTCGGTGACTTTTGCTTCTGAGGACTGGTGCTAACATTCTGCTTAGGCGATGATTCAGTTACCTCAGGCTCAACTGTTTCTTCGCGTTGGTGGACATCCTCGCGAGCGGAGTGGAAAGACGCCCCTGTAGTACGGCGTTCTTCATGTGGTTGGTGGAGTTGCTCTTCGGCAGCACCAGGCTCTTGATCCATGGGCTGAGTAGAGGACTGCGACTCGGGCTGCACCTGTGTAAGGACCACATCATCTTCTTCCTCTTCTTCGTCCCTCTCGTCTTCCGGCATGCCGTGATAGCCCGAGTCCGTGTTGTATTGCGGGAAGGAGTTGAGGTTCTGGGTCAGATCTGGGTACTCGGGTTGTGATGTGTTCTCCGTGGTCTTCTTGGCTTCCGTCGCAGTAGCTGGGCCTGCAGCCGCAGTGACGGGCTTGGTTGGTGAGCGCTGAACAGCCGGGCTAGCACTGAATTTATTCTCCGTCTTGCTGTTGTTGTTTGCGGATGAGAAGATCTCGCTCAGGGGCTGGGAGCAGTACGTTAGCATATATTCAGGTGCGCAGAAAGTAGCTGGTATAACGCACCACTCGAGATTCGTTCGCATCCCGCTTCCGCACTGTACGAGGCGTTTTACCTCGTAGCTTTCCCGGGGTTTTGAAGACATCTGCGAAATTGCTATACAACAGTAAGCGTCAACAACTATGCGTCAAGCCTCTAGACTGGCGCGACCCACGATTGGTTGTTGGAGAAAACCTCGGCCATATGTTCATTCAGCCAATCCATCTCATGGCGCACTGGGTATTCAATCTCCTCCATTTCCTGATCCACCAGCTGCATAAAATTTTCCTTTTCGGTTGAGATCCACGCTGCAGAGCCTACAGGCTTCTGCGCCCTCGCGCCCGCCGCGGCCATGGCGACGTAAACAAAGCGATCGCACAGCGGGTTGACTGAGTACTATGAAAGGGGCGTAAATGATCGAAGGGCACGGGAGCCCGGTCTAAAATATAGCGAGAGACAACGATGGGAACATCGAATGGTGGTGGAAAGGCGATAAGAGTTGACGGTCGACTGGTGAGCTGAAATGGCCGGTCGTCGGGAGTCGAGCATCAAAACATCGGCAAACGCGTGAGTCCCGCCATGGCACGTGACGGTACATCATACTTAGTGCCTGATATCAAAGGCATCCACGTCCTGGCTTAGGCAGGAGAGGAAATCAACTGGAATCATACACCAGACACAATCATCGCTCATGGAAGTTGCAATGCGGAGTAGCTGCAAATAACCCCTGAGGCGTTTCTCTGGCCATTTTGGCTTTTCTGGCTTGATTCTACGGTGTATCTATCTATTTTCTACTCCCCTTTCGATAAGCATCGCTAGTCCCGCTCTATTGAACCATGTTGGTACCGCTCATTCGAGAGCTCTCCTTAGACCAGGAACTGACGTGGGCGGAGTGTTTCTTCATGTAACAGTGATGGTCCCTTGCTGTGCTCATGGACTCACATGAGGATCACTGCACCGCCAGCTGTCCCTATGCACAGTGCACAGATCTAGACTATCAACCAGCCTCCAATGTGTACCATACCGGACCGGGCAGTTTCACAATCGAAAGGTGACGGAGGAACCAGTCAATGTGCCGCGATAAAGAGGAGAGATGGCGTTCTTCTCCATCGATCTTTGGAACCATTATCCAACGTTGACCACTTTATGACCCGGTCATGACATCATCTTCTAGTGCAAAGGGTAACCGTACAGAGAGTTCGTAAATCCATTATTCGACTCGGTTGGCAGAACAGCAAATAGCCGGGAGCTTGCTCGAAAGATCCGATGGGAAAGTCCGGGGCGTTACTCAAGCATCGAGTGAGTTGGGAACTTTGCAGGTTTTCTGCATGGAAAAGGCAGAGGATCCTGGACGATGGAGGATGCCATAGCTGGATGGATGATGGAATGGTTCGAGTAGATCGTAAGTAGGATAGTCAACCATGGAGCCAACACCTACTTACTTCAGGTAGACTCGTGTATCACCCCTTGCATTACGCCCACACCGTCTTGAAAGAGGGATGAGAAACTGATCATTAATATCCAGTAGCTCATTAGCTAGATAGATAACTAACCTGTAGACAAAACAATACCTTGTAGGTAGTTAGTTAACGGCTGGCCAGACTAACTAAAAGATAGTCCGAAACACCGGGTCCATCGTCACATGCGGGCCCTTTCCGCTTGGAAGGCGCGAGAAAAAAGGCCCAAAACCAAGCAAAGCAAAGCAAAGCAAAGCAAGCAAGCAGCAACTCAGCACACGATCATTGCATCACCCGCTACTCTCCTCTCCTCTCCTCTTTCTCCCTCTCTCTCTCTCTCCTTATCCTCCCGCCCATTCTCACCCCCTCCGTCGCCAACTCTCTTAATCTTCCCTTTTCTTTCCTTCTTGCCTCGGTCGTTCTCTTCGTCTTCCCTTGTATTATTTAATTTCAACCCGCCTTGAAACTTCCCCTGAACCCGCTCTCTAGTCCCCGGCACTTTCCTCCTTATCTTTCCCTCCCGAAAATCCTCCAGACCTTCCGAAACGCACACACGACTTTCCACCATGGCTGACGTGAGGTATCCCGACACAAATGGCCACAGTAAGGTACGAGCAGTCGCCGGTTTTCGTGTTATGCTGTTTAGTGAGGACGCATTGAAGCTGATCTAGTCTCTGATCGCAGTTCCGAATCTCCCACGCACATGCTCCCAGTGTATGTTACACGAACTGACCGTTACTCCCTCGCTTAGGCGCACTCGCAAAGGGTAAATAGCTGGCTCCATGCACACCTGCTTCGTGTTTACCGCTCGAAATTGGTGACTTTATGACCAACTGATCTGACTTACACTCGATTTAGGCCCCATTGCCGAGAACATCAAGTCCGAGGCGTCCCGCACTGGTCAAGAATTCCGCGATTTGAGGAACACTAGCCCTTCATCTACCACTGCGACCGGTCAACCCTTGACCTGTACGTTATGACACAAATCAGCTTGCACGCGCTCTCTGCTGACCCGGCCCAGACTACCACTCGCTGCTGTACAGCCTTTTGAGCGTATGTGATCCTGGATGCCGCCAGGCGCGTCACCATCTAACTGATTGTTATAGTGGGAGCAACCCCGAGCTACCGCCATCTCCTTCGCGAGTGTCGTCACATTCATCTTTGCCGCCCGTTACCTTCCTCTCCTCCGTTGGTTCTTCAAATTCATCTATGTGGTTCTGGGATGTAGGTTTGGTCGCGGGTCCCGCAGAGGAACAACAACATATGCTGATTCCCGATTTTACTAGTCACCGCTATTGTGGAGGTCGGCGGCAGACTTGCTCTGTCACAGAGTGTCGTGAGCTCGTTCCGGCCTCGCAAGTACTACACCGTGCCCAAGGAGACGATCGAGGCTGTGTTGGAGGACCTTGAGCAGCTCATCGACTTTGTCCTCATTGAGTTCCAGCGGGTTCTGTTCGCCGAGAACATTGTTCACACCATTGCAGTACGTCTTAAGAAACACCCGTTACTGGCGACTCAGGCCAATACTAAAACAATGTGCAGTCTTTCTTTGCCGCTTTCACCGCCTACTGGTTGATCAAGTTCCTTCCTTTCTGGGGACTGTCTTTGATTGCGGTCACCATCGCCTACATGGGACCATTGGTCTACATCAACAACCGTGAAGTCATCGATGCCCACATTGAGCACGCGCAGGAAGTTGTCAACAGCCAGGCCCACCAGCTGAAGGACCTTGCTGAAGAGCGCACTGCCCATGCCACAGGTGTTGTGAGGCAGTATGTTGGTGACTACAGCGCCAAGGCCCAAGGATACATGCGTCGCTCTGCGACCCCTGAGATGGCTCGGGCACCCGCCCCCGTCATTAAGAAGGAGCCTGAAGCCGAGCCCGAGATCAAGACGACTGACTTCCCAGAGGCACCCAAGGAGGAGCCCGTGGCCGCCCAACAGCCCGTTGTGGAGACGATCGAACAGCCTGCTGAGCAGGTGAAGTCGGAGCCTCTTCTGGCAGCTTAGATAAATGGGGCCTTTCATATAAGATCGGCTAATGGTCGGGATTACTCGGATGATGGACGTGTGGGAATTGCGGGGTAGGTGCAGGGGTGATAAGAATTGGTAGCAGTGACATCCAAGTAGGATGGATTGGTTGGGTGTATGATGACTAACCGGGATGATGCGTTTCGAGGGTTTGCGGACGATAATTGTATGTTTCTCTGCTGGCTGCGAATTATGCTGCAACTTGTCGAATGTAATCACCGTATGAAATGATTTTCTGTCCGATTAAACTTTGCCTCGGATTTAGTGCCAGTGCTACGGAGTAGTGACGTAGGTAAGCCAGTCGGGAGTATGTTGATACAGCGTTTCGTGTCACGATATATATTGCGCGCCGGGTACATGGTATAAGATCCCAACGCGACCATCACAGAGTAGTTCAAGTCCATATGACAACAAGTTAATGTTTCCATAGTAATTCGTGCAGCACTACAATACTCATACCCACGGGGCCAGACCCATGGGGCCTATCTACCTAGACTAGCCTGAGCGGGAGCGGCAACGGGAACCAAAAAGACTAGCACCTAGTATAGAAACTAAGCCAAAAAAGAAAACACAAAAAAGAAATTGCTGTGCATCATCCGTGAATCGAACACGGGCCTCATCGATGGCAACGATGAATTCTACCACTAGACCAATGATGCTTCTTGATGGAAGAGCTGCACTTATATTAGTCTATAGCCTAGCAAAACCTACAGTGAAATATTGCTCTGGTCCAAGTCCCGAATGTCAACCATTAAAGTACCTAGTACCCCTGAACCACATACCTAATTAATACCTTCTATTCAATCTTCTACCCATCTTCATAAATATATATTTGTGTATATATATACATGCCAAGTATATTAACAATACTCTTAGTCAACCCCTACTAAAAGCAGCAATTAGGCAAAAAAGCCAAGTAGTCTGGATAATGCTCTGCCCGCACCCCGATATATTTATATTTGTCACAAGGCAACTAGACAGACATGACGGATTGCATGCAGGACATGAATCAGCAAACTTCAATCAAACCACAACTAACCTACCGCCACTATAAGTTTAAGTACTATAGTATGACCATGCATATTTTGGCCACGCCACATCCACCACTGCTTGACTCTACACCGGTAATGTCACTAGAAGAAGGGACAAAAAGGTACTAAGATGAAAAGGGAAGAAAAGAAGGCCTAAAGGTAAGTAAGTAGGTAGGGAATAATAACCCACAACACATAGTCACATAGTAGTATTATAAGCCACTGTAGTAGAATTGGATAGATGTACCTAGCCAAGTATCGATTCAAACCCCGCAAAATCGATAAATGATCCAAACCCCAGAAAAAGAAGCAACATGGCTTAGCTGAAAAAGCTTCGGCCGAGACAAGCCGAAGATGACAGCCAGGTAATCAATATACCGGATAAATAAATAATTGAACGGCGTTTTATCAACAAAAAGCATATTTAGGGATGGATGGATGCATGGATGTACACGCAAGCAGGCAGTTACCATTTCCTGAGAATGGAAGGAGAAGAGGCCAATGCACGATATCTATCTATCTATGTATCTATCCCTCTGTTTATCACTATCGTGTGTAATGAGTGTATAATGTAGTTACAGTAGGGAAGAGTAACACGGAGAAAGAACAGCTTCTTACCCCGCGACAACATACCAAAGCAGATCAAACCTGTTTCCACTCCCATGAAACTGGGAACTGGTGGGGTTCGTGCCTTGCAAATGGCAGTTGAAACAGATGCTGGAACAGGGAAAGACAAGATCTACCAAGATCTGAATGAGGCCAAAGCACACGGAAACACTCACTGCAAGGCATCCCTTGCTTTTCGAAACAAGATCTGAAGGTTTAAAGAGAGTTGGCAGGCTTGGTAACTCGGTGCCTTTTTTTCTCTTCTCTAGAGGTCGAGTTGGTATAAGAGGTTGGTACATTTCCTCTCTTCTCACCTCTTAGGATCATGTTCATGGTCATTGTCTATACTACTGAGCTGTCTTCAGGTTCATGATTCTCCCTTCTGCGGGCTGCTTCGGTTAGTCTTCTGTATATCGTTATGTACACCAACTTTTCGTTTCAAGTCCTTCAACTTCCTCCTCTCCTCGTTCCACTTCATTATATATGTACCTGAAAAAGCCGCAACCGAAAAAGATGAAGAAGGGAAGACAAAGCATGTATCCTGGGGTTGATGGTGCTCTCGCCGCACCGGTGAAGATATTAAGTAAGTATTATGGTATATGAGTATGTCCCTTCTTTTAGGCCGTTCCTCCCAATAACCGCATTATATGAATGAATGAGGACAAAAGAAATAAGGAAAGAAAGAGAAAGACACGACCGTCATCACGCCCTGCTAAAAACCCAACCGGACCCGAGAAACAAAGGAAACAAGGAAACCCCATAACAAAGGGAAGAGAAGTCTAATAATTAAAGTAGTATGGATGTGTGCAGCTCCCAAGATCTCCGGAAAGCCCCATAACAGGTAAGGACTGCTGTGCTTGGCTGTGTGGGTAGTACTTCATTGAATAAGGATTGGCGTCCAAGGTTGTTGTCGCGGCCGCTGCCGCTGCCGCTGCCGGCTCCTGGTGGAACATGGCCCCCCCAGTGAGGTCGAGAGGATAGTCGCCCTCGCGGTGACGCTTGAGCGGCGCGAACGAGGCCGATGCGTCGGTATCCCATGCTGTAGGGATAGGAGGCTTGCAGGGGTCTGACGCCTTCGATGTGGGTGGCTTTGACGTGAGCGGGGATGTGGTGGCGGTGGACGGGAAGACGGATGTGTGTGATTCGAGATCAGGAATTTCCTTTCTATAGACGGGATTGCTTTCCTTGAGGGTCTGGGTGGGTGAGCCCAGAGTTTGGGAGTCGGTGAGCTCGGGGAGGTGGACGCGGGAAACGCAAATCACGGCGGAGCCATCTGCAGTTGCTAAGTATGAGACATGTCCAAAAGACCCAATAGTGGATGGAAGCGCTTACCTGTTCGACCGTCTAGGTATCGTTCCTCCTCCTCTCGTACGTGGTAGATCTCATCGAGCACAGGAATGCGTTCGACGGGAGCGATCTGGCGCCGAACAGACTGGTCGGCTTCCTTCAGTTTCTCCACGCAGATAGCGTGACTTTCACGCAGCTCGCAAAGGATATGGACAAGCAGACGGATACGCTCTATATGCAACGTTAGCGCGACTGATGGACGAAGCAGAGTGATGGAAATACACACCCGCCTTCAGAAGATGATCTGGTTCACGGTGAGTAACACCCGCCGGCCACCAGGCTGGCTTGGTCAGTTCAGGGTCAAATTGCTGCGATGATCCGGATATGATCTTGCGTCCATTGTATGGATAGTTGACTTGTTTCCGGGGCTCCACGAGCTTGATGTATGCTTTGGCCAGGATGCGACAATTGATCTGCTGCAGGCTGTCAAAGGCCTTCTCGTAGTATCTGCGCAGAAGGCCGGTGTTGCGCACGGGCAGCATGGACTTCTGGTGACAGGTGATGCTCATGGGAACGAGGCATTCATGGGATACCCGCTTCCTTTTGGACTGAGGAGGTTCTGTGGTGGAGTGGAACCTGAACATGATCAGTGGTTGGGTCGCATTGAGATTGAGAAAGGGCGCAAGTACATTTGTTTAGCTGATAGATCGCTGGCGCTGGGAGATTCTGGGGAGAGTGGGCTTCTGCCTCTGATGTCTTCTGTTGTTGTGTTGGTGTCAACAAGGTATCCGTGCGAGACCTTGACAAGGAACCCTACCGAGCATTTTGGATGGATCACCTTTGCCCGACAGTGCCACCGCACGCAGAAAGTTTTCCGTCACGCTGGGAGAGAGGATCGTCTGGCAGTTATTCGCGATGGACTGCGAGGCCTCGAAACGTAATTTGCCATTGTCGTCGATGTAGATGAGGGCGAAGTGCATACAAGCCAGCCCGTCTAATGGCGCATCCATGGACACGGGAGTGTGAGACTGGCACGGTCAGCTTGCGTTGCCATAATAATCACCACAGCCATCAATCATACCATGGAAGCAGAAAACAAGAGTTCGAATGTGATGACTCTCAAGGGATCAAGGTACACTTTAAGGTGGGATGACCTGTAAGAGTTCGATCAGGCTTCTGGTCGCAGTCGCGCAGGAGACAGAGAAGAAGCGTGTACAGTTGAAAGAAGTGAGACTCAGAAGCAAGGCACGAGAAGGAGCATTTTTAAAAGAACAGGACTGAGGCAAGAGGCGAAGACCAGCAATATTGCAAAGAAAATGGGGGGAGTGGCCAATAGATCCACTCGCCGTGTTAAGCTTACCGGATCGTCCTCAACCTGGGCTTCAGCTTCGTTTCGTTTCCGGATCCGCGACGCCCCTCATGCAATCTTATATGCGTGCGCGAATATATTTCCTGTCTCTATTAGAAATTATTAAACCGTTGGCTCGCCTCCAGGACCGCGTCCCAAAAGGAAGAAAAAAGCAACTCAAGTTCAGACTAGGCTATAGTACTTCCAGTACACCGTAATGATGGACCGTCGCAACCAGATCAATGGATCGGCCCAAGCTGTGTCACTAATGTGCGTGGCCCTATGTGGCACAGCAGCCGACGGGTCCTTATCCGCTCGCATGCATTTGGGCGTAGGAACTAATGCTATGTTGCGTCGTTGCTTCCAATCACCGAGCTCGAGAGAGAGGGTCAGATTGAAGTCCGGTCCTGCTGGCAGTCTTGGAATAGAGAAAGTGGCTAGCTATCAAAGTGGACCTTTCAAGAGATTGTTTTGCCACCCCCGGTTGGTCGAATCTCGAGATCATAGTCCCATTTCCCCCAAGCTGGGGCTTGTTTGGTTGCTATAGAATACGCCTTCTGGATTGAATCTGCGTTGTGTACGGAGTAGTATACCATTTCAGACAGTCGTGCCGTAGCAGGTTATGCCACCTGCTAGCAAGATTAGCAAGATCGCCTCGAGCCGAGGGTCCAATAGGTCCGCTGGCGCATTCATGGAGGCTGCAATACATACTCTATCTTGTTCGATAGCATGCGGATGTGCCATTCCGTCTGCTTACCTCTTCCCGTTATGGAAGACTTCGTGTCTTATTTTCTCCTATCTATGCGATTGCCTCTTCCAGATATTGCTTTATTCTACCGAACACCCTCCCCTTGCCTGACGCGTCGGGTGTCAGACAGAGAAAGGTGCAGTTTGTCCATTCATGGTTCGCTCTGAGATCCGACCTGGCTGGCTAGCGGGGCAGACGCTGTCACCAGATAGTAGCCAACACGCCAGGCACCATATCGGAATATCCCGAGGAGGACATTTGTCATGGTACTACTCCGTAGCAAAAGTCAATAGCGGATGTTGAGTACTGTAGGCCTGGAGTGGCTGGAGGGCGGTTCGTTCTACCTGGACCACCGAATATCTCAAAGCGATGCACCGGACATGCAATGGCACCTCGCACTTCCGGTGCTCACCCATTTGTCAAGAGATTCCCAATGCGGGTTTCCCGATGTGTATACGGATGGAGTCGAGGATCAGGAGTTGACCTAGCATTGACAGAGGTGCCAGTCCAGACAGGAAATTATGCGATACCTATTACATACTGGGGTCGGAAAACAGTTGCGAGGCTGCCGTGACCCATAGCGGCGACTATCGCTGTTGTACCGCATCATATTCGATGTTTGTTTTTTTCTCCATTTGGATATCCGGACAACACAACGCCATTGCTGGCCATCGTTCCTGCTACCCACATGGCAGATGTCAGGTAGTGACTTGGTTGAGTCTAGATCAAAGGCAGCCTTGCCACATTGCGGTACTTCGTGGCTATAATGAGCTTGCTGTTGGGATGCCCAAGCCAGTGTCCCGAAAACCTGGAGGGTAAAATTACAGCATTACCGTGGAATTCTTGGAAAAGAGTGCAGATGGAAAGAATCTAGAAAGAATCGAATGATTTTCAGTAGAGAAAAAGAAAATAAAAAGATAACAAATAGAAAGAAAAATAAACCATCAAGAAGAAGAGCCAAACACTCACACAGTAGCTGGACCCTTATGGGGACGTGACGGAGACGGTTGCCGCAGGCCCATCAAGGCCATTGGCCCTTTTGCCTTCGGATCATGTCTGATCGAACGATGGCTGAACCGATCCTGACGCGACGGATGGGAGCCCCGCCTCTGCCGAGACAAGGTTGTGACAGATCGCGGCCAAAGAACCCACTTGTGTGTGTGTGTGGTCAGAAGCAACCATCGGCGAACAGGAGGATGCCTGATCGTACTGGGAGGACCTAATTGGCGATAATCCCGCCAGAACCGAGGAAACCACCGCGGCATGCCTGGCCTGCAAGCGAATGTCACAGAGGGCCATTCAAGATAAGCACCTGTTTAGAAAATCCCAAACCCGCTGATGAAGTAGTACGGCCCTATCCGCCTGTTCCAGGTGTCCTTGGGAGGGGGACGTTCATCTGTTCGATGTATGATGTGTCGGCCGGCGAGACTGCAGAGGAGTGCATATTGCATATGATACGGTGACCTGTCACGGTGGCTGAACGCCCGACATGCATACCGGAAAGCTTCCGGAAGTAACGAGCAATTTATTAACCTACTGAGTACCGCCGAGGTTCCCTTTTGTCATGGTTTATAAATAAATAACATCGGTTCGACGAGGAAAACTTTACTGCAGGTGGGACGGAGCCTTCATTCAAAACTATTGTTGGCGATGGCTGCGCCAGAGGGTAGATCATCGACAGATAGTAAGCTGCCAGTCAACTGACAGGCAGGCTGCCTGATTGTTCACATGATTCATAGTGTGCGCTCCATCTCCATAGACCTGAAGGTTCGGGCCATGTCGGTCAAGTCTGTGCTTCTGTAGGTTAGTGCTATAATCTATGACAGCTTGGCTATCGAACCTTCCGAGTCCTGGAGGTATATCAATTCCGTGCATCACTATCAGAATATAGAGGAAGCTGAAAGTCAATAAGCTTACTTACCCTTGTCAGTAATGTTTGCAGCTCATCTTATTGCATTGAGGTATTACGCCACGCCACGCCACGGCATGGATGCCGCCATATGTACTTGCCGGCATGAAAGGCACGAAGCGGAAGAAGTACCCGCCCACGGAGTGTTATACGTCATGAGGATTGCAACTTACTGGATTGTGGTGTTGGTGAGTAGGTATGAGTGAACGAGCTTCCAATTTGTAATTCAAGTGATGGGTCAAGTTGAACTGGACATGATAGGGAAGAATTCCCCGATGTGGCAGGACAAGGCCTCGCAAACGATAGGAGGTGGACTTTTCATGTTTAGGAGATGACTGGAGGTCGCCCATTCATGGCGACGCCCGCGTTTCTAGAAAGCTGCCGATTCTGTGAAGGAGATCCACCGGGGGTGCCTGTCGGGTGTCTCATAGTTCGTTCTGGGTTCGTCGTACGTTTGTTGAGTTCGGGTTGCTGCCGGGAAGGTATCGCTTTGGGAGGTCATCCCAGAGCGATTGTAGCGGTATGGATGCCGCATATTGACTGCTTTGATAGGCTATAAGCTGAGACTGTCTCTTCAGTAGCTGGATCTACCAACTTAGGATGGTTCATGCATGAAGAGCTTGGGAGACCTCGATCGAGGCCAATGGCTGATCAATTTCGGTAAAAGTGAGAGTATTGACGTAATTCAAGCATACTCACATCTTTGTTGTGCTAGTGATACAAGCCAGTCAATTGAAGAGAGGTACTTTATATTGTTCGGAGAGAAGAGTGAGTGGGCGATGGAAGTAAGGTCAGTCAAGTTTTAAGCTGGAAGTCTACTTTGCTACTTTCATAGATGGAGGATGCCTCAGGTACCTGGCGGATACTGGGGTGTTGTGGTATGTTACTTTTATATTGAGTTTGTAACAATACGCAATACTATGCTGAAAATATGATCGTATGCACGGAAAACAATATAAATCAAGAAGTTAAACAATACATTACATGTTATATACACGTATGATTACAGCAACCATGATATTTGGACTTGCGGCCACCTCGTCCCTTTCCCCTTTCCTCTCTTCTTTCTCCTCTCGAGTCACTTCATACTCGGGGAGAGAAATCGCATTTGATTCTTTCATCAAGATCTCTCTGGTTCAGGCTGTCCTGCATCACGATCCACCTGTCCATTGTCAATTTCTGACGCACTGGGTGCCTTTCATTGACTTTTTACTACGGTATCTACTAAGGAAGTACTACCGGAGTACATTCTCCCCCCTCCGTCCCCTGTGTTCTCTCCCTCTCTCACACACACTCTCTTTCCTCCACTCCACCGCCCGGACGAATCCCATCCAGTGCATTAGTCCGTCCGCCCCAAGGCTGATCGCAACTCGACGGGCCAGCAAATCTCTTTCCTTCCTTTCCGTCCGCTCACTTGACTTGACTTGACTTGACTCGACAACTGCGGTCACAACTGAGGATTCTGACTTGTGACTAACGGATTTACTTTTGCCACAGGTTACACTAACCCACCCTGACTAAGTTGTCGCTTTCAGGTCTGTCCTTCCCATCTGCCGGCCCTTCTATTATCCCACACCCCCCTTCTTGAGTCTCTTCTGGCTGTCGTGTCCCCATCGGCCAATCACCGCCCCTCTGTTTCCAGTTTAATTTTATTATTTTGGCCCTTTCATATTACCTTTTTCTATCTCGTCGTGGATCGTTCCAGAAAAGAATATTCTACGGAATTAAGCAGCGCAATCGCCAGGACACTAAGTCGTTAGAGGAATTGGCTTAGTGTCTCATCCCGCTCATCCCTGGATTCCGGCGAGTCAGAGTGTGCGACCGACATTGACTGTCGCTGCTGCGGACCTGATCCGTGGAAGTTTTTAATTTAACCAGAAACATTAATACCAAAAGAAAAAAAAAAGAAGGAGAAAAAAAATTCAGGAGAGGAAGAGAAAGGAAAAAAGAATTAAAAAAATAACGAAACAAAAAATAAGAGAAGAAAGCTTGTGGCCTGGCTCAACCATTGATTGACCTTCCTCTTGCTCTTATCGACCGACATGGACCCCAACGTTCCCGGATTCCCTTCTGCGATGCAGCAGACCGCGGGTTTTCCTGTCACTCCCCAAAATCCACAGCAGTTCCCCTACTATCCGAATGCCATTCCCCCGTTTCCCCAATCCAAAGCTGTCTCTCATCCTCCACAGCAGCAACACCAGCATACTCCTTTCGGTGCCGTGCCCATGCAGGCCGGTCCTAGTGGAGCAATGATGCCGTCCGGGTTCCCCCAGCAGTCATCCGGTACGTCGGGATCTTTCCTTTAACTCCCCTTGGCCTGTTATCTCCAAGCTCTCTTTCTCTGTCACTACTGTTTCGCTACTCTATGTAATTCCTTGATCTTCTTGAGGCCTGTCATCGCTTCCCCACCCTTTGCCCCTTTGATCTACACGCGGCTGCTCCATGGCGCCGGGTTCTTTTTCCCATACTGAATCTACTGGACCTTCCTGGTCTAGTAGTTCAAGTACGTGTGTGTGCTAATGGCTTGACGCGTATCCACTATTGCGCTACGATTGCCCGTCGTCCTCTTCCTTCATGTGTTGTTGTTCGTTGTTTCCTTTTCCCTCCTGGCCAAAGTGCGCAGGCGACGTTGGCCGCAAGGACTAGCCGCTAACCATCCGGATGGACTAGTAGGACCCCACGCCAACTTCTCTGCACCATTTGCCCAGCCACCTGTGCCAGCAACGTCTATGAGCCAGTATCTCCCTCCCCAGGCGACTGCGACATCGACTCTTCCCGCAACTTCAGCGCAATCCTTTCCGCCCAATATGGCATCGGTACCGGCGACTAACATGATGCCTGCGCAACAGCAACAGCAACGAGCAGCGCCCCAGCAGAACCCATTGTCAAGCTCCGCCCAACCTGCTCCTCAGTCACCTGCGACGACTGCGCGCGAGAAGGCTCGCGTGTCTACGCTGCTGGACATAAACTCGATGTTGCTGCAGGAAGTTATGAACCTTCAGGCAGCTGGCAAGGCTGGTGCGCCTTCGCAAGGAGCGTCAGAGTCGAACCCGTCGCCTGGTTCAGATCAGACCTCGGATAAGCCCACCCAGCGGCCAAGCGCAGAATATCTCGAATGTATGCGTCGGTTACAAGCCAACTTAGGGTACCTTGCAACCATTGCCGACCGGGCTAAGAAATCAGGGGGTGTTCCCCCTGCCGCACCGGCGATCATGTCACCGCCTCCAAACATGCCTTCAATGAATGAAATCTACAATAAACTCAACGAGCTCTTCCCTCGGGCCGCGCAAGGTGGAATGGGGACACCCCAGCAGAGCCCACAATCATTGCATGGCAATGGCCGGCCCAGTCCTTCTCCAGCCGTTGAACACGTTGTTTGAAGAGGTCAAAATGACAACAAAACATGATGTGTTGCGCGTAGTGCGAACTCTATGGGGAGCTGAGCGTACTGGCTCAAGGTAGAGAGCAATCGACCGTCGCTCCTGCATCCCGCCTATACGCCCATGGTTGCATGAGGCCCCTGCCCTGACCGGCTTTTCACTCAAGTCAAACCTCGAGTTACGATCCGACGAGCCTTCAAATGGGCATCGTGCGCGTCCATATTGCGCCACAAACTCTTCTATCAATGATGAGCCATCAGATGAAGCCCACAGTCCAACTCGAGGCAGCTCTCTATTTGAAGAAAGAGGTACTTGATATACTGGGTACTTCTTAGGGTCGTGAAGCGTTGCAAGATACACAAACAGTGTTGGCGACCAAATGGGACGAACATGTGAACATTAGCACCAGAAGTGGATGGTAGCTACGAACGATGGGAGGCGGAGGTTCAAATGTACGATAGAGTCTGGGGATATAGAATCGTATATAATAGAGAGATATATATTTACTGCACGGTACTGCATTGCTATTGTAGAAAACTTGTTTATGGAGTAGGATCGCATGAATTGCTGGCCTGAATGATCAGGTCAGAAGACGCCGCAGCTCCGCCGGGACAGGGCCAATCAGAGGGCGTCAATCGGGGTGTCCGCCCGGTTCCCTTTTCAGTTCTGTCTGCCACTGCAGCTCGCCTGACTTCAGTTCCCTTTTCTCCTCCTTCCTCACGGTCCTCGTCATCCGCCCCTCTCTGTTGCAGTCTCTCTTGTTGGGGGGTCTTGTGAATGTCTTGCGTCTGGCTCCACATCCACAGAAGGAGCCTATTGTCTGTCGCTACGAACAATTCTGTTGCGAGGGCCGCTACCTCTACCTCCGCCGCGCCGCCGCCGCCGTCATCGCCGCCGTCTCATTCTAGTACTTATTCGCCTCTTCATCGCTCTATCGCCAATCCCATCGGATTTACCTTGTCGCCTGCGAGGTCACTAGTTACTCGCAATCCTGAATTTTCTGCCTGTCGGCGCTCTAGTCGACACTTTTCTTTGTGCCCGGCCGTTGCAGCGCCCGGTGTCACCACGAGCATCTGCCCTGGTCAGGCGCCCGTCCGCTCTCTCAGCTCGCTCATTATACACTCTACGAGACCCAGTGGTATACGTCTTCGTGCAGACCAGATGGATTTGAATGGAGATGCAGGAGCCAAGCGCAAGCGCAGCTCTATCACCGCACCCGCTGAACGGCCCGTAAAGCACCTTCGCCCCGAATCGAGCGCATTGACACCTGGGGATTCGACGCCTGCCAATGGGACGGTATATGATGTAGAGGATGATGAAGATGCGGGTCGTCTGCTGCCTGTAGGGCCTGCTCAGGCGGATTCGCCGGAATGGCAAGCTACCATAGAGGAGGTTGTGAAGAGCGTTGTATCTATCCACTTCTGTCAGACCTGCTCCTTTGACACGGAGCTGTCCATGAGTAGCCAGGCTACTGGGTTTGTGGTGGATGCAGAGAATGGATACATTTTGACAAATCGACACGTGGTTTGCCCGGGACCTTTCTGGGGATACTGCATCTTTGATAACCATGAGGAAGTAAGTTGTGCTCTCTCCGTATGTAAATCTTTGGGACAGGAATGCTGATTCGTATTGGTTACGTTAGTGCGACGTCCGTCCCGTGTATCGGGACCCAGTACACGACTTTGGAATTCTGAAATTCGATCCGAAGGCTATTCGATATATGAAGCTGAGGGAGCTGAAACTGCAGCCGGATGCAGCTAAAGTGGGATCTGAAATTCGCGTCGTTGGTAATGACGCAGGAGAAAAATTGAGTATTCTGTCTGGTGTCATTAGTCGGCTGGATAGAAACGCTCCCGAATACGGCGATGGCTACAGTGACTTTAATACGAATTACATCCAGGCCGCTGCAGCAGCTAGCGGTGGAAGTTCCGGCAGTCCTGTAGTCAACATTGATGGTCATGCGATTGCTCTGCAGGCCGGTGGTCGTGCAGACGGTGCAGCGACGGATTACTTCCTGCCTCTGGACCGACCGCTACGCGCACTGGAATGCATCCGTCGCGGAGAGTCTGTCACGCGTGGAACGATTCAGACGCAGTGGATCCTGAAGCCATTCGATGAGTGTCGTCGGTTGGGCTTGACGCCCGAGTGGGAGGCGACCGTGCGTAAAGCAGCGCCCACGGAAACCAGCATGCTGGTGGCCGAGATCATCCTGCCCGAAGGCCCGGCGGACGGAAAGCTCGAGGAAGGAGACGTGCTTCTGCAGGTCAACGGGGAGCTTCTCACCCAATTCATCCGGTTGGATGACATTCTGGACTCGAGTGTTGGGCAGACAGTGCATCTGCTGGTTCAAAGAGGCGGTCAGAATGTGGAGATTGAGTGCCAGGTTGGCGACCTGCATGCCATCACGCCCGACCGGTTTGTGACGGTGGCTGGAGGCACGTTCCATAACCTGTCTTACCAGCAGTCGCGGCTGTATGCCATCGCTACTCGCGGTGTTTACGTCTGCGAGGCTGCAGGCTCCTTCAAGCTGGAAAACACCCTCTCAGGATGGATCATCGACTCGGTGGACAAGCGACCCACTCGCAATCTCGATGAGTTCGTGGAAGTGATGCGAACAATCCCCGATCGTTCGCGCGTGGTGATCTCGTATCGGCATATTCGCGATCTCCACACCCGCGGTACCAGTATCGTCTATATCGATCGACACTGGCACCCGAAGATGCGATTGGCTGTGCGCAACGACAACTCCGGTCTGTGGGACTTTTCGGACCTTGCGGACCCTATCCCAGCTCTTCCTCCGGTTCCGAGGAAGGCCGATTTCATCCAACTCGATGGTGTTAGCCAGCCTGCAGCGGCCGACATTGTGCGCAGCTTCGTACGGGTATCCTGTACGATGCCCCTGAAGCTGGACGGCTACCCCCAGGCCAAGAAGACCGGATTCGGATTGGTCGTCGATGCAGACAAGGGTTTGGTGGTTGTGTCGCGAGCGATCGTGCCGTACGACCTCTGCGACATCAACATCACGGTGGCCGACTCCATCATCGTGAACGCTAAAGTAGTTTTCCTGCATCCGCTCCAGAACTACAGCATCATCCAGTACGACCCAAGTCTGGTGCAGGCACCGGTTCAGAGTGCCAAACTCAGCACCGACTACATCAAGCAGGGACAGGACACGATCTTCGTGGGATTCAATCAGAACTTCCGGATTGTTGTGGCCAAGACCGCCGTAACCGACATCACCACTGTTTCTATTCCAGCCAATGCCTCCGCACCGCGCTACCGTGCGATCAATTTGGACGCCATCACTGTGGACACCGGACTCAGCGGGCAGTGTTCCAACGGTGTCCTGATTGGCGAGGACGGAGTGGTGCAGGCATTGTGGTTGAACTACCTTGGAGAACGCACGTCCAATTCGCATAAAGATGTGGAATACCATCTAGGATTTGCGACCCCATCTCTTCTCCCTGTCCTGTCGAAGGTGCAGCAGGGAGAGATGCCTAAATTGCGGATTCTGAACATGGAGAGCTACGTGGTTCAGATGAGTCAAGCTCGCATCATGGGCGTGTCGGAGGAATGGATTGAGAAGGTGACGCGAGCTAACCCATCGCGGCATCAGCTCTTCATGGTGCGCAAGGTCGATTGCCCACCGCCTGGATTCAACTCGGCGGCCGACACGTTCGAGGAGGGTGATATCATCCTGACCTTGGACGGACAGCTGATCACCCGCGTCTCCGAGTTGGATATCATGTACGAAAAGGATACGCTGGAAGCACTGATTGTCCGAAACGGACAAGAAATGCGGATTCAGGTGCCGACTGTCCCAACGGAGGACCTCGAAACTGACCGTGCCGTCGTGTTCTGTGGTGCTGTTTTGCAGAAACCACACCATGCCGTCCGTCAGCAGATTTCCAAGCTGCACAGCGAAGTCTACGTCAGCGCAAGAGTATGCTTTCCTCCCTCCAGCCTTTGCCACTGCCATCTAAGTAACTAACCACCCACTCTACAGAGTCGCGGATCCCCCTCCTACCAATACGGCTTAGCCCCAACCAACTTCATCACCGCCGTGAACGGCGTCCCCACCCCGAACCTGGACCGCTTCTCCGAAGAAGTGAGCAAAATCCCCGACAATACATATTTCCGCCTTCGCGCGGTGACATTTGACAATGTGCCGTGGGTAGTGACCATGAAGAAGAACGATCATTACGTATGTCACAATCTCCCCTCTCTATCTCTCTACCAAATACCGAGAAACGTGGAAAATTAACACTTTTATCACCAGTTCCCCATGTCCGAGTACATCAAAGACCAGTCCCAGCCTTCCGGTTGGCGGACCGTGTCTCACGACAAGGATAAATATAAAGATGGCATTGCGCCGGATGCTGCGAACTTGAACCCGGATGCTATGGACGAAGGGTTTGATGGAGTCAGTGATATCGAGCCGGATCTGGAGTGAGTGCCGGGCGGACTGTATAGTATTCTGTGATGAGCATGGCTGTGTTAGATGTGTATACCAGACATGGCTTTTGGAAAACATAAAAAGAAAGTGAAAAATGGGAAAATGTTAGACATTACTAGTGTTGTCCAGAGGTGTAGATGCATGTATTGTTTCGAGTGGTATCTGGTATGTAGTGGCTAGTCTACTGAGAAGTGATTGATGATAAGAGTTAAGTCTTTGATTTGTTTGATGGGGTAGGTAGATCCCATGACATGCATCTAGTATCATGTATACTACTACTTGTTACTTGAGAATCAAGCCTGGGGGAATGGATAAACATATGACACTACGGAAGTAACACATATATCCTTGTGAATGAAACACGAATCAAAATGAAAATGTTTGATTTAGTTGAATTAGATTAATTGCACGGGATATCCATATCCCTTCTACCAATAAGCGCTAAAGGTACTCAACCTTTTCTCCGAGAAAGTAGTATATCCAGATTGCCGATGGCCTTTTCCCCTTCATTGAAAGCACCTGATCACGGAAGTGTTTGAGCATACACGAGCCTGGGCTTTGTCTGGTTATCCCACTTGCAGTTCAATTTCGATTTGTTGATGATAGTGACAAAGATGAATGAATCATCACAAGAGGGCAGACAGGCCTTGGGGATAGGAAGATAACGTGACAAAACAACCATATAACCAAAAGACTCCTCATCGACATTC